TGGAAATGACAGCTAGAAGGGTCAGCCAAGTATCACGATACACTGCTATTTAAAGTGCCTATATGGTTGGTCAAAAACAGATACTGACATTGAAGGTAAGCAGTCCTGAGATGCCAGTCAGCCATGACAGCAAAACAAAGTCACCCATTTCCTTTACGTATTCTGAGAGTATAATAATCCAATTTGACTTTGCAGGATTAATTTCCTGTGCTTCTCCTGTGTGGTTGTAATTTTTGGCTGTTTATTGAGGTGGTTATACCCTGTAACAGATGACTCTAGTCCTAGGAATCGAGGAGGGATTTGGAAACCAGCCTCCTCCCCACAGACTATGGACCATGTCCCAGTACCCTCTTAAAAATGTACAAAATGGCTAATGTCAATGGGGAGAGGTATAAGAGGGACCTGGGTGCTTATTCTACCATTATCAATGGGGAGGGGTATAAGAGGGGCCAGGGTACTTATTCTACCCTCCAGTGGGAGCTGGGTGTACTCTAGAGATCGCCTGAAACTATTCTCACACTAAGCGCCTGCCCGAAAGATAACCTGAATCACAATGGAACTAATCACCACATTGGAACTTTACCACGATCCAGTGAATCTTTGATCGGCTATTTGGAAAGTATGTCGGGAAGCTGAGGCGGCATCTGTGGTTACCCAAGACTTGAGAATGCTTTTCTCTCAAAGCTCCATGAACTCCTTTTATGAGACCTTGACCATCCAGCTGCACACACATCCAACTCCTAGATGTATTGGAGAATAGCTGTCAGCCGGTTTCAAACTTTATTACGCTGTTACATACAATGTAGAGGGTTGGTCACACTTTAAAATATGTCTGAAAGAAACACAAATAAAACACGTAATAGTGTAATATTGTCTGAGATATAAAATATTGAGGGAGTGGAGTCTGGTACTCACAAGCCTGGAGCCAAATCTCATACGGCTCTCATGGATGTTGCCTTGGGACTATTAAAGAGGATGTCCCCTTCCTACTTCCACATGGACTGACAGCTGTTCCAGTTGAAATGAGCTCCAGGATCCAATGAGTATCTTTATAAAAGATAAAATACATTGTATGTATTTGCCTTTAATTTGTTGAGTGGTGTAAGGGGTTTCCACTCAGGGGGTCTGTGGCATTATTGCTACCACACTGAATTCTATTGTCTTTCTGTATATATTTGTGTTTTGCATTTTATTACGCTGTTGCTTTGGCACGGGTTCGCCAATCCGAGTGCTCTTTGAATTTGCAAGCTAGGGATTTGGGATTCCCTGGCTCCCATATCTGGAGAGGACACAACATGGGGAGTCGTTATTAACTTTAAACTGACCTAATTAACTCTTATCAGTCTATACAGAGAGCCACTGAGAATGGAACATTATTGTATGAATCATCTTGGCAACCAATCTTACGGCAAGCCGGTAAAACTAAACATGTGCGAGGGAGCTCAACCAGGAACTAAAGATATTTAAAAAAAACATCTGAGCCGCCATTTAAAGTAAAGACCTTAAACTGGAGACCGGGAAGGCTGTGATCAAAGGATGTGGATTTGGGAACAATAGGGGACAATCCAGGACTTTGCATGATTGGCTGTTAAATATTTACTGTTTAATCAATATTATGTATAAATAACCTGTGTGTCTGCCATTGAAGTGAGTTCTCTGGGTTACTACATTCAGTCTTGGCTAATGTTTGTGGGTGTCCTAGGGAAAAGCTATAGCACGTTGAGTACACACTTTGGAGAGCTACATCCCTCTGATCTCTCAGCAGGGCTATTATCACTACAGAGGAGAAGAATACACAGATGGGGAGGGAAGGGCAAAGCTTCTCTGAAGAGCCTCCTGGGAGCCAGAGAAGAATTGACGACCGAATGGGACAGGTCAATATTCCAAGCGGACATCTCCATTCCCACTAGCCTTAGAATGGATCTTACGCATTCAGTAACTGAAAGGAAACATTTTGTCACATTTCAGAATGTGTAAACTGTAGACGTAATTCCATGAAGGAGCCAGGAATGTAAGTGACATTGCTACTGGCAGAGAACTTGGTACTAAAACGTGCTCCCCAGAGGCCATGTTTGAGATACTGTTGGACAAATTATATTTTGGATGGAGAGATGCACATTTGTTATAACCTAGGGCAACAAGTAATTCCTGCCCTATCGAGTTTAAAAAAAATAAAACTTCACCAACTTCCAATTAAAATATGGAACGTTTATTCCACCCGTTGAGGGGCTTTGCTTTAAACACGAGGATATAACATTTTTATCCTGACATTGCTTTTCTGCATTAGGAACATACTCACCTGATAAATTAATAATACTTATGGATTTTTTTTCTCCCTTATTCTGTCTGGTCTTTTCGACCCAAGATTAGTCTATGAAGCCCTGCTGTTGTGCATTCACAGAGTCCAGGCTCTCTGCTATAATTTCACCCCCAGGAAGCTTTCTGTCCCATAACTCAATTTTCCTGTCCAGCCAGTTATATAATCATTCACTGTTTACTCCTTTCTAAGATGGCTTGTTTCAGTGCATTAATTTGTGATCAGTGAGCTGTTCAGCTTTAGGTGAACAATGCATTCTCCCTAACCATAACCTCCCCTCTAATTTAATTCTGTCTGTGGCAGCGTGGTGTTACATGCCACCATTGTAAGTAGCAATATAATGCAATTGCACCCACAGTAGCATGTTAAATATATATGGTTACAGAATACCTAGGAAACAAATGATAGAAAATGTAAACAACAGAAACAAGTTGTAGTCACGAAACCTTTAATTACCAAAAACAATTAACAGGGCAAATGGTCAGCAGCAGTTGCAGAGTAAAACCAGAATAAGCCCATAAGGAGCACAGAAGCCACAATAATCTGAATATAAGTCATGTCACGTAATAATATATCTGACAAACGCAAGCACATTCTCTCAGAGCGGCACCATGACAGGACACTGAGCTCGGGGATTGCAGGGTAATTACAGGCCTTAATGACTAACAGTAAAATGTATTCTAACACACTGAGTGGAGAACCCACACAAGTTTGGAGTTTGGCAAGACAAGTCAGCCATTTTCTTTACAGAGAATGGTTCATAACTATTCCTATAAATAACATACCATACATCCACACTGAATTTAAATCAAAATAGCTGGTTTTAAAAGATTCTAGCTAGAATGAGCTAAATGTTTTTGGTTCAATTTTCATTTCACAACCATGCAGTGATCTTTTAGATATGTTGATTAAAGTCAAAGGTTGGTACTAGAGACTTTTTTTAAATTCCTTTTAATTATGTGAAAAAAAAAATATGTAGAAATGTAAACTCGCCCAGTCTAATTGAAAGTGTAGATGCAAAATTCAAGGGACACTCCAAACACACAAAGCTCTTCAGTTTGAAGCTAAATCTTTTTTTTCTGCAGTACAAACAAATTTTGTACGGGATTCTTCACGGTTTAAAACTTTATATATCGAACTGTAATTTAAATGTTATAGTCAGGGTTGATTTGGCAGCTTGGTATAAAGGGCTAGAGACCTGATCTTGGGGCAATGTTTTTTGTAGATCTGGCTTGTAACACTTGTGTAACAAGTTAGTTATCTTTAAAAACATACTTGGCCCAAATGACAGGACAGGCTGAGTTTGGCTCAAAGATGCAATGACCTGACTTATTAGCTGACCTTAATGGATAATTTCTTGCATGTTACACTATTTTATTTAATATTTTTGGTTGGTGAGGCTGGGGAGATCTGAGGATCCCCCCTGGAACTGACCTATAAGGGGTCCTAGTGGAACATCTTCACTTCAGATATCTGCGTATTCCAAATTCCATTTAAGAGTCAGTTAATAAGACGGACCCTGGTGGATCCCGTTCATACTTATTCACTGACATGGTTGTTTTTTGTGTGGATGAGCAAAATGAGGTTAAATTCAGTTAATTAAATTGCAATCAAATTTTCAAATCTGGTTGAAGTTTGGTTATTTATGGTGCTTCACGTGTTTTGGGGGGTTTTTTTGAGTAAAGTTTTCTTGGTAATTTTGTTTATACATTTAAGTGTTTGTTTATTATTCCTCATTCCATAAATGTTAGCATTTTATAAAAAAGAATAAATTACCAAATTGCCTCAGGGGCATATAATGAAATGTGATGATCTTGCCTCCGCTCTGCAGTATAAGATTTGTTGATCACAGGGTAATGCATCTACCGTGATATTATAAAAATGAGTTTCTACTTCAATACATAAATAACTTGTCACATTAATATTTATGTATTTACACTAAATTCAATAAACAGGGAATTGTGCAGAACTGAATATGAATTGTATATTTGAGGTCAAAACACTTAGGAAGAAAAGGCATTTGATTTGGATTTCCTAATATGATCTAGCATTGGTCAATTCTACACAATTTCTGGTTTCGTAAATACCTGTTTAGTTTACCTGCAAATAGAGAATGATGGCGAATTATCAATCAAATCGCAAAACTCAGGGTGCAATAGAGATGGCGAATTTGTCTGTATCGGCTTTTGCTGCCTACAGTTTGTGATTTAATTTTTCACTACAATACAGTGTTTAAAAATAAGATTTGCTGCAATTGCTTCTACCTGTTTTTTTGTAGTTGTTTTTCGCTTTACTTTTATATTGATTTTGGCATATTCTATCTTTGGAAGATTTACCCTAATTTTCTGATTTGTATTTTGTATTCAATGGGATCTAGCTTTATCGGGTGATTTTTGTAATCAGATAACTAACTGCTAGAGGTAATCATTCTTGACTTGGGATTTGGAAAAATCTCATCGGGAGTGACTAAACTGTAAAGTTTCCTTCAAAATTGCACAAATAGAAAAACAAAACACTACAGATCATTGTCTAGTTCAGCTATTTTGGCGTAAACTTGAAATTGGTGATGTTTTAGGGTCAAGGGAAGCTCTGTAGAGGTAAAATGTCATTGGAAAGAATCTACAAGTGGCTAAATGAACTCATCGAGTCTTTCCCGTTAGTGTATAAAGGCTCAAGTCATTTAGGGATTTCTATCACTCTCGACATGTATTATGCAAACCTTTCACCATTCTAGAAGCCAAATTAATTTTTCGCAGTGAATTTCCTTTCTGAATGTTCTTTTTCTTGCTAAACTGAGAACTGCAGAGATCTGGTTAAGAAATGGCGCATTGTAAGAAATAATAGCTAAATTTTAAAAATATATTAGTGATACAAGCAGTGTTCTTCATACCGAATGTGTGTTTGTGTTTCAAAAAAATGAATGCCCAGATAAAGAGGTAACACATTACGTGAGGGATCTAAACATTATGTGTAGTATTTTTTGTTATTCTCATATAATAAAAGGAACACAAATGTTCCATTTTGTTATGACTTTATTCTCTACATTCCGAGTCACTCTGCATCCCTTGTTATCGGCATTGTACAAAATGTTGCAAGATGAGAACAAAAAATTCTAAATGTGCTTTGTCTTATTCTCGTGTGCAAATATGTTTAGGATGTCAGTCTTGGTAAAGAAGGAGCACAAAGGTAGCATATAAACCAAATGGATTGTGCTTATTTATGGAAATCGTACTATTAGTTATACATACAGTGGGACCTGGGTTTACGAATTTAATGCGTTCTCCGGGAGGTTTCTTATTGCGAAAAAATTTGTAAACCGAAACGCGGTTTCCCATAGGAATGCATTGAAAACCAATTAATCCGTTCTGGAGGTCAGAAAAAAGTCAAAGTGAGCTGGCATGGAAACCAACCCACAATGCAGAACACACAATAAAAGGCATGCAAACGATGAAGCTCAGCTCCCTACCTTTCCACAGCTTGAGAAATGCACCAAAAAGTCACAAAACCGCTGCAAAGAATTTCCAGAATGGCTCCAAAGTCACAAAGCCGCTCCAACACCTCCACACTCTACGCCACGTGCTACCCACAGGCTCCAGTATGCAGGGGGCGGTGCTATAAACCTCCCAAAAAATTTTGTAAACCGAGGAATTATTTTCAATGGATTTTCATTTGTAAATTGAAAATTATGTTAACCGAGGCGTTTGTAAACCGAGGTTCCACTGTATATTTAATCCCAGACATTCTACGTGAGGTATCATAATAGACCTTTAACTTACCTCCCATCCTATTAGGACTGAGAGACGCACTGGCTTTTCCTCGTCCGTATCCCTCCCATATGCTGTTTGGATGCACATGAAAAGTACTGTTTTGTGTACTTTCCACTTGCTCCAGTATCACAATCACTTCATTGCATATTTTGGGTATCAGCGTCAGAGGATGGAGTTGTAGCTAATATATATATATATATATATATATATATATATCTCAATAAAAAACATCTGTATGTATGTATATATATATGTATATATATATACATACATACATTTTTTTTAATTAAATTAGTGTACCTCTATGATAAATATTCTCTGCATGCAGACGCTGAACGTCAATGCTGCATACTGTGCAGCACTGACCCAGGAAGAATCTCTAGTGGCCGTCTGAGTGACTGTCACTAGAGGTGCCCCTGGACAGCAAGGTAAACACTGTCTCTTCTCTGAAAAGGCAGTGTTTACATTAAAAAGCATGCATTACATTAAGCTGTAGTTGTTCTGGTGACTATAGTGTCCCTTATAATTGTATAGAGTATAATAAAGTCTTGGGGTAAAGCACAATTTCTAGTGCAGAGTCTAGCACCTCACCATCTTCATCAGCCCCCACTGCTACACTGATTAGATTTACCTACCACAGCATCTGACATACTGGAGGTAAACGCTATTCATGTACTTCTTATCAGCAGACTTTATATGTGTGAAGACGAAAACACAGTGACTATGGTGACCCTATTTCATTTAACCTTTAATTTAAAAAAAGAAAATGTAAAATTTAAAAAAAAAAAATCCCTGCCAAAATCTTCTTCTTCTAAACTGTGAAGAATTAATTGGTTTTCACAAATGTATATATTAATTAGTGGTGGATCTAAAGACAGGGTTTTATTAAGCAAAAAGTACATTTTATTTATACACTAAACTCTGATCCACAAAACTACTAATTTCAGGACATTTTTCCAGCATGGCTAATTGTCCAGCTAGGGCGTATTGTGGACTAACGTTTTCAATAGTTTAATGAATAAATCCTCCTGTATTATCTGCTGTGATTTTAACCCCTTAACACCTTAAGGACCAAACTTCTGGAATAAAAGGGAATCATGACATGTCACACATGTCATCATGTCATGTGTCCTTAAGGGGTTAAGGACACATGGTATGTTTGACCTGTCATGATTCCCTTTTATTCCAGAAGTTTGGTCCTTAAGGGGTTAAAAACCAAGCCAGCATGCAGCACTAGGGACGACCTCCACAAAACAATCCGTTGGCTTGAGAAATCAATGCATTTTAAAGATTTTTATTTAGCATGTTTCATTATAGAGCCTGGGGCTGATTAGAAGAGAAGAGTGACCAGTCCATAGTGGGGGGTGGAGAGAAGGGAGGGATGAGGGGAGGGAGAGAAAGCTTGAGGGAGGGGGATGTAGGAAATATTAAGACACACGTAGCATCACTGCATTGTAGGCAGATAGGATACAGCAGTGATACTCTCAGCTGATACGCCACCAATCTCTCAGACTATTGAACAGTCAAAGACTGGAGGTAAGAGACATGGGGGGTGAAGGCACGGGGAGGGGGGGTGAATGTAAAGAAAATTCTAGGAGAACATGTAAGTAACTGAGAAAAGACGGTGAAGATGACTCACTTTAGATGTCGCAGACTCCTCCGGTACTCAAGGGGTTAAGTATGGAATTAAGGGAATCAAAGCGGTGCAGGAAGGAGGCGCAGCGCTAGGTAACTGGGATAATATGATTTACAGGGGTGGTAGAGAGAGAAGCAGGAGAATGACGAAATGCAGGGGGGAGAGAAAATGCTGCGAGGGCTGCACTGCATTAAGTAGACAGGCTGCAGAGGGGTTCATTGGGAAAACCGCAACAGGTGGAAGACCGAGACAGGTCTAAGGGGATTTGTTTACTAAACTCTGAGAATTTTACCAAATCACAAATTTTTGCCTAAATGATACCATTTGGATTGCAGTGTGCTGCGGTATGTTTATTGAATAACCCCGGTGTGCACAGGTAATGGACTGCGTGACGCCGTGCATGTGTGTGTGTGAGCATGGTGCAAGCTGTGTACGGTGTTTAACTTTGTGTATAGGGGATTTTTAGACACACTGGAAATTTTAGGTCAAAATCATTAAATGTGAACTATTCTCTGCATTTCCGATTTTGCTATGTTAGCCTAAAATCAGTGGTCCCCTTGTCCGTAATTCCCAGTTTGGTGACCAAACCCCGTGCGGGAGTATTAGGTAGGCCAGCGTGTACGTGTGCAGGGTATGTGCTGCGTTTTGTGTATGTTTGAAGCATGTTGAAGGGATTGCGAAGCTCAGACACTGTACGCAGAGGAGCTGTTTATAGAGCACATGTTAAAACTCACCTGGAATATGGGGCGTTAGTAATAAATAGGGCGAGATTCTCAAAGTAGAGCAATGACAGGAATATACCACTGGTTTCTATGGTGATTGATCCATTTAAAGAATGCCTCCAATTGGTTTCCTAAATAACCACAAAAGAAAATTTAAAAAAATACACTAGGGACATTGTTTAAATGAGGGCTACCAGACTCGTGAAAGGTCGGAATGATAAATAATACAGATCTCAAGAGAACAAAACCCCTATTTATTGATAATCTAGATCAAATAGCCATTCAAATTAAACTTTCAAAAACCTTTAGCAAACTACAAAAGAAAAGCCGTTTCCATAGTACGTATATAAATACTAGTTATAAGTACAGTAAATATTATACGAAGTACAGTAAGACAAGAAGACATAACTTGGAGGTGAGGATACCAGCAGTGATGTCAGCTTATATGCTTTTAAAGAAATAGTAGTCAATGCATGGAACAGTCTCCCAGCAGAGCTGGTGGTGAGTAATGCTGGAATAGATACACTAGTGTCCTAAACAGGGAACACAATCAATAATTAAATCAGTGGTTTTACACAAGAAAAGGCCTGATCAGGCAGGTTGGTTATCTTTTTAATCTGTCATCAAAATCTGGGATTATTTGATCTACTGTAGAATATGTAAAACAGGTTTTTGGTTTTTAATTTACTCACAACTTTAAGGTGTTCTGTGTCAGTCTGTGAGTTACCTATATTTTTTCATAATTTATATTACTTTTTTTTTCGTCCAGTGTCCTGTTTGTTATATTATGCATTGTGTTATATGTTCATGTAACACGCTGGCTGGCTGTATTAGTAGAAAGTAAACTATAGGTGGAATTCGATTAGAGTTTTTGTGTTTAGTAAGTAAAAAAGAAGGATGTAAGTGTGTATGAATAAGACAGAAAGCAAGGCACCGTATCATGGAAGGAAGGTTGTGTATAAATATCTCCGGCCTAATCTGTAGGATAAAGATTGTACGGACTGCCGGGAGCCTAGCAGTGTACTGTATTCAGCACAGAATACGAGCCACGTCCACTTTATAATAAAATGTAATGAATTCATTGTTGGCAGTATAACTATACAGTAGAGAACCCATCAACTGGCAAGATGGCCAGGGTCCACAAGTCTTCATACACACTGCAAGAACAGACTAATAGCATCGGCATAAAGGCAAAGAAAATCAGTGGGCGGGCAGGTTGGGTATTTCATAATAGTCCAAAGCCCACTTAAGGATCATACATCCATTCCGTTTTCTACATGCAAAATTATAAATTGTCATTGAAATAAAATCTATTAGTAGAATGGGATAACCAACTTTTAACAAACAATTTGTTTTTCCTATCTTTCTTAAACACATGATCTTTATAGTCACACCAGATCCACGGAGGTGGGGTGGTATTTGTACTTCCGCAACCCCCTTGTTTCTACACCCATGACTAACGGAACAATGCCACCGTCCAAGAAAATTTGTAAAAATCCATTGATTATTAAAAAATTTAAAAAAAATTGGAAAAAAGAAAGGTTAAAATGGCACAGTACTTACAAAGAGGCAAAATTAGTTAGCACAAAAAAAAGCCTAATGCATGGTTGGTGATACCCTGGTTGACAGGATGATTGATGTATACATGGTGTCAGTTAAAAATAAAAAATGCCCAGGATGCCCAGGATTTGAGCCTATGGTAAGATTTGATGACTGTGCTAGTTACACGTGCTGTCACCCGCTCCCGACCGAAATGTCCTCTCCTTAACTAAATGTCATTGATGTCTGCCACTTCTCGTCCATAGTCTCTGCCAAGTTTATATAATTCTATCAATCTCTTAACTATATTCTCTTGGATGCATCCCCCCACCCCCCATCTATTGTCTAATTTTTGCTGTTCTGGTTTCTTTCCTGCGTTATCTCTGTATCATTTCACAATGTCCTCTGCCATTCCATTTAATCACTCTCCCACTAAGGGCTAGCTCAGAAACAAAATGCTGCCCAAAACCAACTACCACCACACATACCCGAACTTCTCACACACAATTCACCAATCACAATAAACATAACATACACACAGATACACTCTGATCCGGACAGACAAATACACAAAATTACACGGTGAGGTTTCAGTTAAATCTTTGCCCCTTTATGGGCCGTATTCTATCTCCAGGTTCTTCCCATATCTATTAATATTTTTATCCAAACCTCTCTTGCTTACTCTGGGTGGATCTCGGCTGTAATTGCTTTACAATCCTCAATTGAATTTTTTTTTGCCCTCTCCTCATCCTTGAACTCTATCTTTTTCACTATTACCAGTTACCATTCCAAATTCTCACTGTCCCCCGGCCTTCTTACATGTGCGTTTCTACAGTTCCAATTACAATTATTTATACAGAGCCAACATATTCAGAAGCGTTGTACAATAGGTAAAACAAGACAAGGAACTAATTCAAACATGTTTGACATACAGGAACAGTAAGTGAAGAGGGCCCTCCCCAAACCCATACAGCTTCTTCTGTTATCAAAACCCCTTTATTCTCCTTGCCTCTTTTCCATGCTGTCCTCAGTTTTTATGCACATAGACACTTTCTGTCATTTTCTCTGTTCTCACAGGTACATAGACACACGTTCTCAGTGCCCTCTACAAACACATCACTAACTCACACTAACACAGGCTGCCCAAACAGCAGTGACTGACTGCGCACTTGCGTTCACAAGCAGATTCTGAACTCACTATTAACATCACATTCATAGTGGGTACCCATGGATGCATGCACACTCGTCACCAAGTTCCTCCCACATCCATCCATCCATCCATCCATCTCCAACAGTCAGTACTGAAAGCTGCATGATATTGCAACTCTGTACACATTGTGATTTCCCAATGCACTGTGTCCAGCACTATAATAAAGATTGGGGGGGGGGGGTTACCGGCATATATGTTGCTGAAAGGATCTGGGGTATAAACTGTCCTACATTCAAAGCTTCTGCCCATAAAGCCCTTCCCTAGGCAATGCTCATGATACCATTTTAACCATTCTTCACGCAGAGCGTAATACCATTTATGGGTTGTTTTTTTAAAAATTTTGTTTATTTTTAACAAACAGTGGATTCCGGAAACGTTCCTTAGAAAATGACGTTTTTCTGTTATCAGATTCTAGCACTGTGTGTGAGGGTAACTTCCTCCAAACAAAAATTCTAAGGAAGAAAGAGTTGATACAATGGGGAAATAAAAAAGAAAAATTCTATTTTAAAAAATTTAACTGAGATACCCAAAGTGGAGCAATCACCATAGAAACCAATTGCAGCTATACCCTTTTCACATTTTTGCACCAATTTTCGAACAGAATACTTTGATAGCTACCCCCTCCTCCCCCAACCCAACATTCTAAAACAATCTTACCATGATGGGAAGGATACTTGTGAGCTCACAGTTTCAGCTAGACACACAGATACTTTATATCCAAGAATAACACGTTTTATACACGAAACATTCTCAGTTCAAATTCAAAACGGAACTTTTATTGACGGTCATTAAAATCCATATGCAGCAAATCACATTGTCAAAGTAAAGCCAGCGGCAGAATCGCATAAAACTTAATGTGTTTTTCACGCTTAGCAAAGTGCTTACCCATAAATAAAACCTACAAAGGCTGAAATCCATTATATAAAGTACAAATAGGGGGTGCGACTATATTGACCACTTCCGAAAAATCTCTGGCTCTTGGGATTAGTCCAAACCAGGGACTAGAAACCAAATATCGACATAAACACTACGGACAATTGCAAAATAGTAGGATTTGTAATAATATCCGGGTTATATTAATTTTCTTACATTGGAATTCTGAACTGTTAATTGAATGGACCTACGTAGATTTAAAGGTATTTTAATCAATCAATGAATAAATATTGATTTGTTCGCAGGTGCTTAAGCACTACAGTTTTATGAACTATAGCCAGGGATAGGCAACCTTCGGCACTCCAGATGTTGTGGACTACATCCCCCATGTTGCTCTTACACCCATAATGCTGGTAAAGCATCATGGGAGGTGTAGTCCAAAACATCTGGAATGCCGAAGGTTCCCTATGCCTGAACTATACTAATGTCAGATTTGTGGACTGATACCCTATTCAGAACAGTCTTTATAAACGCAACAAAAGTTAAATTAAAATATAAGACTTCATTTGAAATCCTGGTTTAGTTTTGGAAGAAGTTAATTTAGAACTTTTACCACAAAGAATCATCTACACCCCCTGATTCCATAGCGAGACACCCTCAAATATCAAAGCAAAATGTTTTACAGAGTTATTCGCTAAAGTGAGAATTCAAAGTGAATTTCCAATTTAAGGCCAGAGTAGCCGAACTGGAAATAAAACTATATTCCAATTTAGCTATTTTGGCCCTAAAGGGACACTTCAGACACCAAAACAACATCATTTAAAGTTATATTTATATAATATTTTACCAGGAAGATACATTTAGTTTTCTCTCGTTTTCAAGTATGTCCTGGGTCCACAAAACATTGTGTCGCTGATTGGCGGAGAGTGGTCAACTGATGCTCTCATCCAATTAGTGACTCTCCGTTTTTAAAATTGGCTTAGAAAAGGTTATGGCTTGGTGCTAATCCAGGTCCCAATGTTTTTCCTCTTCTTTTTAAATACAATGAAAGGATTTTTAGCTAAGGGTTAATTAAAGTGGAAACTCAGGAATGATTTAAATGGTGTTCAAGGTTAGTAGTTCAAGGTGAGCAGTAAAACTATCAAATTAATCACCCTTTGGGCATCTTAGAAAACATCTGAGAAGGCTAACAACAAAATTGAGTTTCCAGCAGTTTCCCTGTGGAAACTGTCAGAAATAATCCCATTATTTAATGATTCACCAGTTTGAGTTAGATCTGAAAAACTAATAATGGTTGTTTCAATATTATCCATAATGATTAAAACCTAAGTGTTTTTACAATATAATTGTGTTTGTTTACTAACCAGATTGCCAACAGTTCATAAATGTTCATCAACTGGAGTAATAAAATAATTTTGCAAATGGGTTTTCAGACATATCATTGCTCCCACCAAGCTTAGTGAACGAGGGTGCAAATGTTGCCCCCATAGCAGTGCCACAACTTTGGAGTTAGTAAACCCCATGAAGGCTGGCTCGTGGTTGGAGAGTGTCAGCTGAGTATCTCTCGGCCAATGAGCTAAGCCCTGCAAGGCCAGGATTAGGTCAGTGCAGGGAGTTTCTGGGAACACAGGAGAAGACAATCAGCACCTGGCAGACCCCAGGTAAGTTGTCAAATTGTTGTCCAATTTTTTTCATTACTGATCATGACTACTATAGTGGGCTGTAGTGGTTATTGTGCTTGGAGTATTAGCATTTTTTTTAGCATAAGCATTTTTTTGGACTCACAAATGCAGCTTCAGAAACAATGAGACAATTATTTTAAAAGATCTCGATATAACTTTTTCCAACATCATCGCTTCAGGTTGATCTTTATATTGATAGAATATTTTACGTTGTATCTGCTTAGTTATTCCAGTCGAGAATTATCATTTTTACTGATATCAAGAATTTAGGCAATATTTGGCTCCAGTTTCTCTCTCCAGTTTCAGGTATGAGTATTATGTATAGTATTATGTAACTATATTTGCTTGTTTAGTCTCAAAAGATGTTAATGGGATACTATAGTGCACCTGCCTCTCTCCCGCCTCCCGGTAAATAAAGAGTTAAAAGCCATTTATTTACTTACCTGATCCGAGTGCCGATGTCCCTCAGCGCTGGGTTGAAGCTCCTCATCCGTCCCCTGACGAACAGGTTCTAATGCACATGCTCGGCAAATGCCGTTCGCAGATTAGACCTCCCCATAGGAAAGCATTGGCCCAATGCTTTCCTATGAGGAAAAATCTGATGCTGGAGGTCCTCATGTAGAGCGTGAGGATATCCAGTGTCAGATACCAGACCAAAGGTCCATCTCAATCCAGGAAGGCCTCTAGTGACTGTCTGCTAGACAGCCACTAGAGGCTGACTTAGACTGTAATGTAAACATTGCAGATTCTCTGGAACATTGCAGCACTAAGGGCAATAGGGACACTGCACCTAGACCACTTCAATGAGCTGAAGTGGTCTGGGGGCCTACAGTGTCCCTTTAATTTGAAACTTTTATCCACGAAGCATCTATATCTTCTGAATCCACAGCTAGACATCCTTAAATTTTAGAGCAAAGTCTTACAGAGTAATTCACTAAACTGAGAATTCAAAGTGAATTTCAAACTTAAGGCAAGAGTAGCCAAACTGGAAATGCAGCTGACTTCCCGTTAAGCTATTTTGGCCTTAAAGGGACACTATAGACATCCAGACTACTTCATCTCATGTCCCCTTTTTGATAAACTGAAATAATTACATTGCAGGGTTAAAACTGCCTCTAGTGGCTAACCATCAGACAGTCACTAGAGGTCCTTCCTGTTTGCTAGGCAACTTTTGATCGCCTAATGCTGGAACGTCCTCACACTCTGTATGAGGACATCCAGCATCGGTAAAATACCCATAGGAAAGCACTGAAGCAATGCTTTCCTATGTGGAAGGCTTACTGTGCTTGCAGAAGAGCATGTTCAGTACCAGCCAAGATTAAATATTCCACCTTGCCACTCACCAAAAAGCCAACATATTCATCTGTATAAGGAGCATGCTGAATTTGACCGATAGCAGTGTCGTGTGATAAGGCATTTAAATTGTACTTTGCTCTAAAAGACAAAAAAAAGGGTAATAAGGCACTCAGGAGCCAGGCTACTGTAATAAGATGTTACAGCATAATAAGGCACTCAGGAGCCGGTTTACTGTAATAAGATGTTACAGGGTAATAAGGCACTCAGGAGCCGGGTTACTGTAATAAGATGTTACAGGGTAATAAGGCACTCAGGAGCCGGGTTACTGTAATAAGATGTTATGGGGTAATAAGGCACTCAGGAGCCGGGTTACTGTAATAAGATGTTACAGGGTAATAAGGCACTCAGGAGCCGGGTTACTGTAATAAGATGTTACAGGGTAATAAGGCACTCAGGAGCTGGGTTACTGTAATAAGATGTTACAGGGTAATAAGGCACTCAGGAGCCGGGCTACTGTAATAAGATGTTACAGTGTAATAAGGCACTCAGGAGCCAGTAACTGTAATAAGATGTTACGGGGTAATAAAGCACTCAGGAGCCGGGTTACTGTAATAAGATGTTACAGGGTAATAAGGCACTCAGGAGCCGGGTTACTGTAATAAGATGTTACAGGGTAATAAGGCGCTCAGGGGCCGGGTTACTGTAATAAGATGTTACAGGGTAATAAGGCACTCATCAGCCGGGTTACGTAATAAGATGTTACAGGGTAATAAGGCACTCAGGAGCCGGGTTACTGTAATAAGATGTTACAGGGTAATAAGGCACTCAGGAGCCAGGTTACTGTAATAAGATGTTACAGGGTAATAAGGCACTCAGGGGCCGGGTTACTGTAATAAGATGTTACAGGGTAATAAGGCACTCAGGAGCCGGGTTACTGTAATAAGATGTTACAGCGTAATAAGGCACTCAGGAGCCGGGTTACTGTAATAAGATGTTACAGGGTAATAAGGCACTCAGGAGCCGGGTTACTGTAATAAGATGTTACAGGGTAATAAGGCACTCAGGAGCCGGGTTACTGTAATAAGATGTTACAGGGTAATAAGGCGCTCAGGAGCCGGGTTACTGTAATAAGATGTTACAGGGTAATAAGGCGCTCAGGAGCCGGGTTACTGTAATAAGATGTTACAGGGTAATAAGGCGCTCAGGAGCCGGGTTACTGTAATAAGATGTTACAGGGTAATAAGGCGCTCAGGGGCCGGGTTACTGTAATAAGATGTTACAGGGTAATAAGGCGCTCAGGGGCCGGGTTACTGTAATAAGATGTTACAGTGTAATAAGTCGCTCAGGAGCCGGGTTACTGTAATCAGATGTTACAGGGTAATAAGGCGCTCAGGAGCCGGGTTACTGTAATAAGATGTTACAGGGTAATAAGGCACTCAGGAGCCGGGTTACTGTAATAAGATGTTACAGGGTAATAAGGCACTCAGGAGCCGGGTTACTGTAATAAGATGTTACAGGGTAATAAGGCACTCAGGAGCTGGGTTACTGTAATAAGATGTTACAGGGTAATAAGGCACTCAGGAGCCGGGTTACTGTAATAAGATGTTACAGGGTAATAAGGCACTCAGGAGCCGGGTTACTGTAATAAGATGTTACAGGGTAATAAGGCACTCAGGAGCTGGGTTACTGTAATAAGATGTTACAGGGGTAATAAGGCACTCAGGAGCCGGGTTACTGTAATAAGATGTTACAGGGTAATAAGGCACTCAGGAGCCGGGTTACTGTAATAAGATGTTACAGGGTAATAAGGCACTCAGGAGCCGGGTTACTGTAATAAGATGTTACAGGGTAATAAGGCACTCAGGAGCCGGGTTACTGTAATATGATGTTACAGGGTAATAAGGCACTCAGGAGCCAGGTTACTGTAATAAGATGTTACAAGGTAATAAGGGATGTTACAGGGGTTATTAACTTTACAGCACCCTATGACTTACATATATGTATATTTTTTTGATTTTCCAATTTGCAGATCAGCATGACAGCTCTGATCTTGTTGCTGCTCGAGTCCCTCCTAGTATTCTCATTATCCACAGCGTCACCAGAGACTTGCCTGTCAAACGGCAAACAATACAAACTCACTCCCTCTGCAGAGCCTGGACTGTGGAAGTGCCAACAGTATTCAAAAAGTGAGTGAAATAAACAATATTTTTTTCTCAGCTGGATGTAGGCCATGGCCGCATAGTTTGCCAACCAGACATGTCATGCTAATTCAGTGGTTCCTAAGAGATATACGTTATAAGTTATATTCACCAAAGTGAGAATTCTTGGGGATTCAGAATGAATTCGAAGTCACATTTAAGGCCAAAGTAGCCGAACTGACTTGGAGAATTTTTCCAATTCAGCTATTTTATTTTTTTAATTCCGTTTTAATCCCCAAGCAATTCTCCCTTTAGTAAATAACGATTGTCCTCCACCGGTTGCCATGATGTTTCTATGAGAATTGCTTGGGTCAGGTGACTAATATTTTTTACTGCCACATCTCTTCCCATTGTACAGCACTACAGAATTTGCTGGCGCTATTTATATAATAATAATAAAATAATAATAAGACTTTAATTGGGGAGGGAGCATAAAAATGAAGGCTTTTGAGGAAATCTCATGATACATACAAATGAATAGAACATGACACATACTGGGCAAGAGATTGGAGACCCAAATGTCCTTCTTGCCAGGGCCGGACTAAAATAGGGGATGTTGAAGCTGCAGCTCCAGGCCCATGTCTATGGAATAGGCCCATTGAAAAAAAGAAATATATATATATATATTTTTTTTTTTTACTGCTCTTCACATGCTTTTATTTAGGTTTGGAAACTTAATAGGGATCTAGGGGAACAAAACTGGTTTGGACTGGCTGACAATGAAATTAGTCAAACCTTTTTCTAGGTTGTACTTATTCTAACTTAGACCAACACACTCACCATTCAGTTCAACGGTCCATCCATTGTAAATTAGTGTTAACTTAAAGGAACGCTCAAACCCACTACAGATTATTGTAATAATACAGAATCTTGTGGTTGTTTTGTTCAGTAAATATTTTGGTGCAGTTCATCCAGTTTTTGTCAGTTTTCAAGCAGTAAAATTTTGGCTCTTGTGGCACCCAAATTCCTGCCCCGATGCTGTCCCCGTGATAATGCAGAAGACTAATTTTTGCATTATCTGCGCACATCCGCCAAAGTTTGAACATGAATGACAGCCTCCACGTGCTTAGGAGATGTGAAACAATCGCTGCAGAACAAGAGGCTGTTGGTGCCGGACAGCCCTGGTGTTTGTATAATAACCACAAAACTAATTAAAAATAAGCAAACATCTTGCCACATAATGCACAAGCACTCACATTTTATGTACACCAGCACCCACTGGTTCTTAAAGATTAGGTTTACGTTGATCTCTTTACATCACACTATGCTAGGCACGGACACTAAGCAGTACAGGGCGCCACCTGCCATACGACAGCTATTGCAATATTGTAGTTACCGTGCAGCAAACTGAAAAATTCTTTAACAGCATTTCCATCATTCACACAAGTACTACCACATCTCAGGTCCCCTACGATGCAGTACACTTGTCACCTAATCCTGCTCTAGGTTACCGCATCCATACTTTCAATATCATGTTCATTCTCTCACTCCATCACACAATCTACTTCCTCCAAAACGCTCCACCTTAAATGGACCCTATAGTCACCAGAACTATTTTATTTGTTCTGGTGAGTATAATCAGTCACGTCAGGCATTTTGCAACAAACACTGTCTTTTCAGATGGCTACAAAAGGTGCTTCCTGTGGCACGCAACTTTCTTTATAGAGAGGCACTGATTCAATGCATCTCTTGGCAAGGTAGGTGTTTGGCTCCGCCCCCGGTTCACTTCCTTGGCAATCTCAGCCAATCCAATGCTTTCCTATGGTACAGCATTGTGATTGGCTGAGTTCATCACTTCTGATGATGTCAGCCAAGGAGGCAGGTCAGTGCCAGCAGACTGGAATAAAGAAAATATTTTACTATATTTAGGGGGCAAAGCAGGGCTAGATGGTGTTTTTAACACTAAAGGGTCAGGAATACATGTTTGTGTTCCTGACCCTACAGTTTTTCTTTAAAACCAAGTCAACCTTTAGTCATCAGACTTTCCATGTGTATCATCCCGCAATCTCACCCTCTTTGTTTCTACATTTTAGATGCATGCTGTTCTCCTGAGCACTTACACACCAATCTCCCCTCTCCATTCCCCTGGGATCAGTGTGGTCCTCTTAGCCACAGGTAAGACCCTTTGTACACACGTAGTGGAAGAGATCAAACAAACACACCCATCTAACCAAGCTTATCGCTCTCCCACTCACAGGTGTAAGGCACAAATAAGCCGAGTGGAGTGCATGTATCTGTGCTCCCCGCATATTTCTAAATGGGGGGACCCTGAATCTGCTTCTGGACTGAATAAACTGCCTCTGTGCATCGGATTCTGCAACCAATGGTGAGATCACGGTTTTCATTTACTATAGTAGCCAGTAGACTTGTGCAAAAAAAGAGTTTTAGCTGTTATGAATGAATACAATTCCTATTTAATCCGTGAAAAAAACGTGATCTGTGTGTAAAAAAGGTGCTTAAAATAACAATAAGTGATAACAAATAATTATTAGCTGCTACAACACTTGAAGAAGATCACTCTAATCTTAAAGTAACAATAAAAGATAGGGAATTTGAGAGGGTAATACAAGTAAGGAAAACCCACCACAAAGACCCCTTAGTGGAGCGCTGGTAAATACTCACCCTTAAATTAAGGGGTAAAGGGAAACTATCTCCAATGGTGAAGTATGTCTACTATTTTTAATCCGTGCCCAACAAATCAATCTGTCTGTAGAATGTCACTCAACAAGGTGTTAAAAGTGGGGCAATTATCATGGAAACCCGAGGAATATTCCTGCTGATTACTCCACACGCCCGAGTCGCTATTTATAAATAACCCCCACCGAAACCTGCGCAGCAAGGATCTCTCCCTGCCCTGCATTAATCTGGTGGCCAGCTCCGTAAAACTCATTCATGCTAATGAGTTAAGCAGCTAAATCTCAGGGCTCCTTGGGTCAGACTAACTGCAAGCATTCTACAAACTCCACACTGGAAGGGAGTGCGTCCAACGTCCAATGGCGACAAACAGCAAGCTTAGTGAATATCAGAAGCTTTTCTTTTTTTTTTCTATTATTTTATTTTTAAAGTAAAATTATGACAGGAGCTATTTAAAAAAACTGGTAACTTAATGATATTTGTATGTTCTCCTTGGATACACATAGAAACACATTTGCAGGTTTATTTACAAAAGTGAATTTCACATTTAAAGCCAGAGTAGTCAAATTGAAAACTTAGACTACTTGAGTTTTTCCTGTTTGACTTATTTTACCTTAAATTTGAAATTCACTTTGAATTCTCACTTTAGTGACTACTATTTCTTTAATACCAAATTCTATTGCCTTAAAAAAGCAAATTTAGACTAACATGGCAAATGTATCCTCAAAACTTGGCAGGAAGGAGCATCATCTAAGTGTTCTATTAGCTCAAATACCAAAGATGGGATCTAGCGTTATTATGTGGGTATCCAACAATAAATTGACGCCCGCTCAGGAGAGCTAATGGGAGCTAACGGGGAAGTCGTGGAGGTGGGAGCAGGCTCCAGCACACCGTTTGACTCCTTACAATAGGGGAGCTCCAGGGAAATCTTGGCACCATCATCACAAGAAGCTTTGAGTGTTCCTTTAACATAAGAAGATTTTGCCCTAAAACAGGCTACTTAGAATAGACTTGGTGGACTACAACTACCAAAATTCCTCTAGTTAAATAGACAGGAAAAGAATTATGGTATTTGTTGCCCAACATTATCTGAGATGCCAGTGTTTGACGTGACAAAATTAACCAGGTGGGCCAATACTGACATGAACTCAGCCCGGTCATATATAGTAAAATATCAGCTCGTCACACGACAGTGACAACTTCTCAGCGGTTCTCCAGGGTTTGTGAGAGGGTTTCCTTTATCCTCAGTGACCTAAACAAAAAACTGGCCATCAATGATACAATACCTGCAAAGATAAATGTAAAATTTCTATGCATGTATGCATCTGTAAACTATTTATATCCCTGCCTTCTATGGAATGCACTCAATGTACAAATGTAGAAATTATCCCTGAGATAAAACTACACTTGGCAGCAGCAATGCTTATAATATTCTGTTACCAAAACATTTAAACAAAAACAAGATTACCTGCACACACTCTCCAATCCCAATGGCCATTTTAATAGGAGGACTTTAGTAGCACTGCAATGGCCATTGGAGTGTTAGCTCACCTGCCAACATTAAGACAGTTCTTTTTGAGGACAATATATGTTTGAAAGTGTATAGCACTAACAGAAACACTGCCTTTTTACAGGTTACAAGCTTGCAAGGATGATTTAATTTGTCAAGGGGACCCCACTTCTAGTGCAAACAGCTCCAACAGCTGTGTCACATTCGCACAGGTGAGTTTTAAACATTATCTCAACACTGGTTAAACTAGATGAGCCACGCCATATACATTCTCTACAGAATAGATTCTGCAGGAGATAATGAGGGAGTGGATTAGGAGTCCAACCATCTGACACACTCTGTCCTGGATACTGGCTAATGTGCCCTCTTAGGAGACTCACGGCTTTCTACATCAAAGCTTAATTTACAAAAAGGCAATTCTGTGTTTCTGTATCACTCTGTTTGCATTGGGTATATGCCGGTGAGATAGCTCAGTTGGTAAATTCCCTGACTAAAAAGCCTGTTTAAAAATGCATGGTCACAGGTTCAAAGTCCTGGCAGGGTCAACTCAGCCCTTCATCCTTCAGAGGTTGATAAAATGAGTACCATCAATTGGCTAATAATAACAGCTGCCTTTTTGGTTATTTCTGAGAGTGTCCACTGGGAGGAAGGCGCTATATAAATACTAATTATTACTCTGAGTTCAACTTCCTTACATTTCATCACGGTATGCAATGTGCATGTTCTAACCCCCCCCCCTCCATAAAGACAATTTCCCAGCCTGCAGTTTTTTCCCCCCAAAATTAATACCATGCACTATTACTTTTCTAAGAGTCAGAGCTGATAGATTGGCTTTTTAGGGTATTAACATCCCAGAATCCCTTGCTGTGCTCATTTAGCACACTGCATATGTGATACGCTCAGTAGCCCTTCTGAAAATTAAAGAGACAATAATCATCATAACCAGTGCAGCTTATTGGGCAAGAAGCCTTTGAATGTTGTACTCATTCCCTTATTAATTAAACCATTATTAAGTAATTTATCAAAAACCTGGGGTGTATGTTGCCACAGCAAAGGTTTTACTCCACATCATCGGTTCTTGTTTTGCTAGAAGCTGTGAGTTAGCACAGTGGATGGAATTTTAGATATAAAGCAGGAGTGGATGTGCCCTTTGGGTACCAGGAGAGTCCCATTTTCTCATGCTTAACGGTTTAATGTAAACCAAGAGATGGCGACAACAGACTCTTTGACCTATGAGCACTTCGTAAGCTGTTCTTGTTAGGATACTAGCAAACCCCTTTACAGGTGGCCATAATTCTCTTCCTAGTTCAGCAAGAGATCATTGTATAAGTTGCACAGTTTGGGTCTGCAGCAAGTGTTGAAAATTCAATGTATGTATGGATTCATAGAATACTTTTTTATATAGCCGCCCTTCTTATGGTGGAAACAAATCATTTCAACTGAATAAAGGATTATTGTTATTAGTACTGTGTTAACATGCTTAAGAATTTAAATCACTAAATATGAAGTTTTAAACGTGGAAAAAAAAAAAAAAATGTGCTCTCTTAAAAGGGACACTATAGTCACCAAACAACTACATCTTAATGTAGGTGTTCTGGTGTCTACTGCCTGTCCTTGCAGGATTTTTAATGCATACACTACCTTTTCAGAGAAGAAGAGGAGAAAGAAAAAAAAAAAAAACGTGCATGGAGGCACTGAACACTCCTCAGAGATGCATTGATTAAATGCATCTATAAGGAGATGCTGATTGGTGTAGCGCTGCCTTTTGCCGCACATGCGCAATAGCCTCCCAATGCATTCCTATAGGAAAGCATTGCATTGGCGGAGATCATCAAGTTTGATGATCTCAGCCAAGGGGCAGGTGAGCAGGGGCAAAACCAGCCACAAGAAGACACGCGCGACTCTGGAAAAATGTTTAAAAAATAAATACCTTTTCTCTTGCTGACAGGAGGACTGGGGACCTAAATGACGCTAAAAGAACTATAGTGTCAGGAAAACAGTTATTCCAGACACTACAGTGTTTCTTTAAAAATAGAAGAAAAATTATGGATGTTCAAAGAGCAAAGTGACTTATGCTTTATGGACAATATATTAAATGCAAAATTGTTTTTGCTGAATTTCCTAATTGTCTCTACCCTTGTTCTCGGAGTTCAACACAAGAATAAAACCAGTATCTAATACCAGTAACTTTGTTTCCTCTACATACAAGCAAGCAAATGTAGAGATTTTAATTTCAAGTTCTAAACTGTTGGATCTTACCACACTTGTCATTTATTTGCCATAGAGTTGGCATAAACCTCTATGCCAGAACATTGAGAGACAAGAGAGCAGTAGAACCCTCTCCAAAATAGTTCTGCTCTCGCACACATATTCCCCCGCAGGTGTTGCTTACAAATAGAGGACGGAGTAACGGACGACACTCTCTTCTGACACCAATGTGTTAGTAAGGCTGTAATGTTCACTTCACATCAGAGGATTGCTCTGCTTGGGGAAGTGTCTTCAAAACAGGGTCAATAACTGTGCAAAGGGGAACGTGTCCATGAGAACGACAGAAGGGGAGCGCTACATTAACGCAACATCAACCGATAGGAAGTCTAAATAAATATTTTTATTTTTTTTAAAAACAGGTGTTAATCTGTTCAATTACACAAACACTTGACAAACAAGCTGCTGTCTTGAAAGGCTTCGAAATATCTAGACTTGTGTTATCACAGAGCGTTAAACCGTGATTCAGTTTCAAGTTGACTGCTTCCACTCTGTGCAGATCATTCTGCGATTCGTAAAATAGTTTAGATGAATGTAAGAATCTGGAAGGAATATTTAGATGACAGATGGTTGTTTTAAAGGTTTATTGTTTCTTGTTTTGTATATAAACAAAGAATCTTTATTTCTATCTCAGGCGTTTGCATCAAGCATGCAGTTGTGTGATACTATCTGGGATAATTCATTTGCAACTGAGGAACAGCCAAACCTCTGCATCACACCCAAAAACAGCTTGCCTATTGAACCAAGAAGAGCTTTGCACAAGAGGGACATCCAGATGAATCCAAGCATTTCCGATCTGGACAACACTGAAGAGGGTCCATCTGGGTCATCAGACCTTCAAAATGACATACCTATGAAGAGAACGAGGAGAGCATTGATCAAGAGGAATGTCGTTGAGCTTCCTACCACTCCTGAACTAGAAAACGCAGAAGAGGGTCCATCTGGGTCATCAGACCTTCAAAATGAACAACCAAAAGAGAGACTGAGAAGAGCATTGCAAAATGTCTTCGATCTAGACAACATCGAAGAGGGTCCATCTGGGTCATCAGACCTTCAAAATGACATACCTATAAAGAGAATGAGGAGAGCATTGTTCAAGAGCAATGTCTTTGAGCTTCCTTCCGCTCCTGAACTAGAAAACGCAGAAGAGGGTCCATCTGGGTCATCAGACCTTCAAAATGAACAACCAAAAGAGAGACTGAGAAGAGCATTGCAAAATGTCTTCGATCTAGACAACATCGAAGAGGGTCCATCTGGGTCATCAGACCTTCAAAATGACATACCTATAAAGAGAATGAGGAGAGCATTGTTCAAGAGAATGTCTTTGAGCTTCCTTCCGCTCCTGAACTAGAAAACGCAGAAGAGGGTCCATCTGGGTCATCAGACCTTCAAAATGAGCATTGCAAAACGATCTTGACAATATCGAAGAGGGTCCATCTGGTTCTTCAGAACTTAAAAACTCTCCACCAAAAGACAGAACAAGAAGGGCTTTGTACAAAGGGAGTGTCTTTGTGGATCTTACCGCTTCAGATACAGGCAACACAGAGGAAGGACCATCTGGGTCATCCGAACTTCAAAATGTCCTGCCAACAATGAAAGCAGGGAAAGTTTTGCGCAAGAGAAATGTCTTCTTGGAAGAGGTTGAGGGAAGCGGTAGCAGTATTTGAGGAAAGACAGGTTTTTGTTTTCTTCTACTTCAAAAATGCCGAACAGCCAAGCACTAATAGGGCATTTACTCCCAGGTCCCTTCTCTCAAATGCTTTCCTTCATCAGGGTTCAGAAAGTCTTAAATCAGAATACAACAAGCTAGGGTCTCAGCAAGCACAAGTTTAGCCAGACTCTACAATCTTTCATAGCACACCCTGAACCAGCTTTAGGCAAAGGTCATATGATCCAAGATATCCTTTGCAATTTTCGTTTACAAGCTGGTATTTAACATCACTATAAAGCCTACCAACAAATTGCATTTGTTTCCTTTCAAATCAAAGACATAACTCACCGTGCAATCCTTTTCTGTAGGGATTCAGGGGGGAAAAACTGATTTTGCTACATATCGACTTTATATTTCTGTCAATCAAGCCATGTGGTGAAAACCACACAGACTAATAAATTTTAAATTCTGAGTTCTAAAGTATTTTGTGTGTATAACATTTTCTAATTCCATAGAGAACATTCAAAAAAGTAAATACACCAAACTTATACCAAACTAAATAGCCTAATAATGCATTGTTGTAGCAGGCATCCATCCATATTGGCATTCTTAGTCTTCCTCTAGAAAAGACCCAGCTTTATTTATCCCTTAACCTAAGTTTGTGGCAGTTCCTCAAGTTCTTTTTTGCATTCATAACAGATGTATTGAGCCTGATCAAGAAACATGCCCTCTACTTGACATCGAGCATGGCCCATAATTTCTATACCCCTGAATTATAAATAAAACACACACATTATACAAAAGAGTTTTATTAAAGATCCTGGGTGATACAGATCTTGTACAAAACTGGTAATGACAAATAGCTTCTTCCACCCCTGTGACAGGGAAGGAGGCAAATTGGTTTTCCCCTGGAAGGAAATGGACAGTTCCTTAGCCTCTACCATTATTTCAGGATGAACGGTACTGTCAAATCATCACAAGATGAAAGAAAACAACAGCCTCATCTTAGTGGTAGGTGTAACATAGAAATAAAGCTCTAAGACAGAAGACACATAGTTCTGAGTTGTTCTCTCAGCCCCATGATACACAATAAGAGGATCGCACCTTCATGAAACTGAAACAACTGTTTATGATCAAGAAAATAGATCAGGAACCCTCCTATTAACGAGAACGAACTCACAAAACACTACAACGGTTTTACAACTCAGACAGAGGCTCCAGAAGTCTCTCTTGGAAGAACCGGTGTCTTTTGGGTTTGACAGCTTCCTTTTGAGTTGTAAAGTAAGAGGACAGGACAGCCTGGGATTTACTTGGCACACCATCCTCCTCCTCATCTGGCCTGGAAAAAAATAAAAAAAATTAATCTTATTAGGTTTTAACAAGTCACTATCCTGGTTTGTATTTTAAATACTCATAAAAGAAAGTTAGGGAAGGTAAGCTGTGCTTAGGAGTATTTACAGGGCTGCCATTAATGTAAGATGGTAAGGCAATAGCGACCAGACAAGCACTGAAATCCTTCCTAATACTACACAAGGTCTGTCTGACCTCCTTCACCCAGCATAATCTGACTAATGACTAATCTCCGTCAGCTCTGCTAGTGTCACTAACTACCAAGGCAAGAATAAGCTGGTCAGAAACAAGAACATATTTCAGCAATCCACAAAATGAGAAGTTCAACCCCTGTAGAACCGACCTCTGATAAATGTACACCTTTGCCTTAACCAATTTTTCAAATCCTGGTTAGTCCCTCTCAACACCGTTACATTATTCTATCACAATCGTATACCCTTCTCCCACTCCATACCTCTTTAATAGACATAGGATTAAATGCTGACCTCGTGCATATTCTCATCTACATACCCATTACTGCACCTCCATTGTAGCTTGCACAGTTCTACTAGACAGTCTTTGACCCAGCAAAAGGTCTCAGTCATCATTTAACCTCTTCAGGAGAGGGGTTAAGATCAAGAATAATAAAAACACACAAATAAAATAAAACCCTGCTATATTTTTACCAATTTACGTTCTAATAACACACTTAGTTTAGATTGTAAAGTCACCTGATCAGGACCCACATCATAATTTCTTGCAATATATAAAACCGGTTTCAAACATTTAACAGTTTCCTATAAGCATTATGTAAAATGAATATATAAAACGCGCTCCAGCAGGGGACATAAATTGCATTGCGTCAGAATGTTTGGCACTCCACTCACCAGACCACTGGGGCGGCACTTCTGTCCAGGATGGTTTGGGCTGTACTCCAGCTAAACCTGACAAACTGTGGGTATCCAAAAACAGGGTCCAGATATTTGGCAAGCCAATCTTTTGTTTTGGGGTCTGCAAAAGGAAAACCTACATTAATCTGAGTCAGAGCAGAGTATGGGAGAATTTTTATTTTTTATTTTTTTTAAATGCTTAAAATTTCAACTTATTCACCAGCAAATTCTAATATTACATAAAAAGGACTCAGTGAAGCCATAAATTGATGAATAGGAGTCAAAGGTTTTATTTACCGAATTTAGTCCTTGAGGGGCTGGGAGGAGGGACAAACAAAAACACCCCCTGCCCCGTAAATAAAGTGATTTAGCTTCTGAGACTGCAGGAGCTTGATCTATACACCAAAACAACTTTAGTGCACTTAAGTTTTGGTGTATAGATTAGGTCCCTGCAGTCTCACTGCTCAATTCTCTGCAATTTAGGAGTTCAATCACTTTGTTTATGCAGCCCTAGCCACACCTCCCTGGCTGTGACAGTATCCATGAAAAGAAAATTGGATTCATTTTCAATCAGATATTACAGCTCAATGTGTTTACTTTAGAAGCTCGTATCTGCTCTTCCGTAAATTAAACTTTAATCACACACACAGGGCTCCTGTTGGCCACTAGCAAAGCAGGAGATAAGAAATTATAAAAGAGGCAGACTGCATGATCAGACCAACATTGCTTCATTAACCTAAAGTTGTTTTGGTGTCTAGTATCAGATTAAGTCCCACACCTAGATTATTTAAACAGAAATCCTATATTATCAATAGAGAGGGTACATTTTGAGTCTTGTGGTAAAATTAAGTTTTGAGAAGAGCTAACATTGTTTTTTTCTTATCTTTACGAGCAATAACATGTCCTGTACCAAGAATGCTGCAGCAAGAATGCCCCTTTTTATCTTGTCACTTATTCAGCAAATTTTAATGAAGTTCTTGTTGAACAGAAAATAAATACTCTACACATACATGATTAAATATTTTGAACCAATATCAGCTTTCAATGTTTTCTTTTCTGTGTCAGTTAGCGTATAATAGTACAGTGCCATGTTTGCACGCAGGCACACACACACACACTAATTCACAAAAAATCTTTTGACCTATTTTTTTTTCTCTGTATATGGTCCAATTTAAATATTTACATGGAAAAGTGAAAAAAATAATTTTCTAAAGTTTGTAAAAGAATCCTATAGTGACCCTCTACAGTTAACTACTGGTCCGGCCTCCACACCCAGCGATTTAAAGTTTAAAAACCCTCCGATGTCAGCATGATGGGGGAACCTCATGGTCATGCGTATTGAATCAATGCTTTCTCATGGGGATTTGCAAGACGCTGGATGTCCTTATGCAAAATATAAACGCTATGAAATTACGGGAAGCACCTCTACTTGCAGCCTAGGAGACAGCCGTAATAATGTAAATATTCAGGGTTAAGGGGACGGGGCACTGCACCCAGGCAGATTCTTAAATGAGATGAAGAGGTCTGGGCGCCTATAGTGTCCCTTTAAATGACCACTCCACAGGTAAAAGCATGGGCAAAAATGAACACATACCAAAAAACAAACAAATTTTTAGCTATACCCCCAATGACTACATACATGCATTATTCATACATGGCATGCTCAAGTAGAGTGCACTTGCCACTTACGTTTGCTCAGGGAACCGAACGGAAGTAGGTAGAAACCTCCCAGGTTGTTTCATTGACAGCCAGGGAATGTTCCATTATTTAATAATAAAAGTGACGATTTCTTATAGAAAATGTGCTTTTATAAAGTGCCTTTTTAATGGGATACTCCTCACCCATCCCCACCCATAAAGCTCTTCAGCCCTTATGGGTGTGAAGTGACCCTTTAAGCTCTTTCCCTACACTCTGATGATCAATTAAAAGTATGATGCTGACATTTATTGTGATTAGCATTATTACTGTTATTGTTGGTAAATTCTACATGACATGTTAGTTTTATAATATGGAAGTTATGATCAGTGGAATCAGTATTTCATTTAGACAGGCAATGATTCAATAAGGGGATAGCTTACTAATCATTCTACATTAACAGATTACCATGGATTACGCTCGACAATTGAGCAAAATGCAGGTGTGTACGTTTTTAGAGGAAGGCAAATTCTGGCACGGCTAGATTTGTAGTAGATAAGGAAATAAACGTGCGTGTGTATAAATTATATAATTTATTATACACACACACACATTTATTTCCTTATCTACTACAAATCTAGCCGTGCCAGAATATATACACACAGCACTGTTACTTGGCAAAATCCACGGAAGGCAAGGACAGAAAAGGATGCCTTGCTGATAAAGAATTGTAACACACTAGCCCCTCCACTTGCCAGACTTTTTCCATCTGCATCTTGAAACCAAACAGATACATTTATATAGTCTGTGCATAGTTTCATTCTGGGCAAACAATCTTATCAGGGTCACATATTTCATGTGGTTACAAAGGAAAGAGGAAAAACAAGACTCGTCAAACCCAATAAAATGTATATTATTTTAATCAATGACCACATTCTTATTTCCTGTGTTCGAGTGGCGTGAATTTGGCCCCATTCAAGGAGTCGAAAAGGTGGAAGAGAGACCAGAGCACCCCCATCTACATCGAGGGGAGGCACCAGTGGATGCAAAAAAATTCCATATATTTTGAGAGTGCAATAATGTGTTGCTGGTGTGATTTTAAAGAAACAGTGCATTTTTTTAACATTTAATTTTAGATATACAGCTGTAACCTTGAATATTCTATTTGCACACTACACATTGTATCATAAAAGCAGGGACTGGCGTAGGACTCCATATCTCCTCAGCACAGAGAGTGGAGAAGACAGAAGCTCTTTATCAGAGTGAAGGGCTCCCCTAAACGAAACCACCCTTTTAGTTACATCTGTTTACACAAAGCAGTACGTGAAGTATCACCATGCAAAAGGGGTGTTCCAGCAAGCAATCACTGATAAACATTCAGATTCAAAATGTAAACAACTCAAATTAATTAGAACAAAAAAAACACAAACAGTGGAGAGTACACCTCAATACTTATTAAATGTCAGACACACAATTATCTTGTTTTATTTATCTGTGTGGAATTCTAAATGCTTCCAGTGGCCGTACGCAGGTTACGTACAATATTTAACGAACACACCATGCACCATAACCCAGTACAGACAGTGGTCCTGTTACTTCCTGGGTTGGTTAGCTCAGTGGAAGTAAACTCAAGAGGCAGCAATTGCCCAGAGCTCCACACTTGCAAAGACTTCTCCTTGAGCTGCATTGGGAAGTCTGGTTGGACAGCCACTGGATAGAAGGTGAGGACTTTCAAATGCAGCAGACAAGAGATATGCAGCTTTTGCCTGCTACTTTTAGATATAACTCCAATGAAAAAAAAAAAAAAATACATAATTAAATGCATGCTTTCATTGGGGACATATCTACTAAGTTATTTTCTTTTTTTCCCCAAAGAATCAGTCTAAGCACCATAAATGCTTTGCACTCTGCCTCTCTGCTGAGAGTGGACATTGATTCAGCTATAAGACTCTCACACAAAGGAATTAGGTTTACTTCCTCTTTTTCCATACAAGATCCATCCAAACTGAATAGACAGTGACTTCTCCAAAGGACAGAGTCCAAGCGAGGCACCAAGTTGGCTACTTGGCAGATTGATCATTTATACTTATCCCATACGATTGTATAAAGTTTGTAATCGTATCAATTGAACATACATTGGTAGGTTACTCAATAGTAGAAACATGGAAAACAATTGGACAAATCGCTACACCAATCTGTTTTAGCTTTAGTGTTTGTACATTCAGTTAAAGACAAAACAGGTTGGCTTAGATCTTTATTTGTAGCATTCATTTATCTACCTTTGTCTGCTTGAAAAGATGTAATACATGACATGCAATTACTACAACAAGTCTAGCGTTATCTGTGCATTCAACAGACAACAACATTAACAAATCAGTGGCATTTTAAAGTTTTTTTTGTTCAGCTATCGACTTTCAGGGATCCCACCCCTTATTGCCAATATCACAATCTACTTAAAAAAAAATATAAAATATATATATATATATATATATTTTATAATAATAATAATAATAATAATAATAATAATAATAATAATAATAATTGACTATCACAGACATTTTGGGAGGCACCTACCGTTTGGATAGCCAGAGCCATAATCCATATCAATATCACCCAAATCCTCCAAGAACTTCCACCCTTTTACCACCCTGTCTCGTGCCACCTGAAATTAAGAAAAATGAATGATCAGCAGGTTGACCACATAAGGATGAAAGCTAGACGGTAACGTATACACAGTACTGAGCTCTTAAAAGGGCACCAGTCAGTACGACTTCTACATGAAACTGTTATGGTGTCCGATGGTCCTTAGTACATTGCCTTATGGGGTTCAACTGTTTTTGAACAGTTCAACCTTAAAATGCTGTTCAGGGAGTCCGTCCTCTCTGCCTCCTCCTTCTCAGGCCCCAGAGCAGAAGTCTTTCCCTTAGTCACTGGTGATAGTGTCGAGTGTTACTCGACAATCTCAGATCATCACGTGTCTCTCACTCAGAGAATTGTTTTAGAAAGCGCTAAGTGGGTGTTTGATCTAGATGCGCATACAAAATTATCAGCCAAGAATACGTAACTTCCCATTTTTGCCAGAGTAAAGAATAAAAGGGACCACAGTCAGTCACCCCAGAAGATCCAAATGTAGCCCACATTTTGCCATTGGGATTTAATTTAGCTACAAATTAAAGTTTACTGAATAAACCCCATACAGTTCTCCAATATGGCATAAATGGTAATATTTCAAGGCAAATATAAATGGTGGTCCCGTTAAAAAGTAGTTTACACCAAGTTGATAACTATTTCCAGTAGTTCCTAAGAACATCTCACCTTTGCACAGATACTTGCTGCACTAACAACAGGAAACAATGAATCAGCCTTCGGTCTCACAGTGACATCCAGCTCAGGGAATCGGTGTTTCAGTTTCTCCTGGTATTTCTCTGCCGGGCCCACTGTATCTACAAACACCTGAGAGAACGGCATGTTCAGTACCACACTATTAATTATCCCACCTTGCCAATCACCAAATAGCAAACATAGTCACCTCTTTCAGCTGAACACCTGTATCTAGAGCATGCTGAATTAGACCGATAGCAGTGTCATGAGATAAGGCATTTAAATTGTATTTTGCTCTAAAAGACAAAAAAAAAAACTAAGGATTAAGAGGTTTACTGAAACAAAGGGAATTGCTAATAAAATTAATAATAACTAGTAGCACCTAGAACCTGGGTTAAACCGAGTTATCGTAATAAGACGTTACAGGGTAATAAGGCACTCAGGAGCTGGGTTACTGTAATAAGATGTTACAGGATAATAAGGAACTTAAACATTCAGTTACTGTAATAACATTTTGGCAAGGAAATCTAAAACTTAGAGGCTGGATTACTTGATAATTGTTCAGGTTTAAAAAGGATTTTCAAAATGTACCTTTGTTGCATGCTGGTAGAGATGACATTAGGGGACAGTATGTGTAAGGCCCAGCCAATGAAGTCTGTTGTAGCATTTAACTTTCCAAACAGACGTTCCCTCTCAGATTCATTGAGTGTCTTGGAATCTACAGAAAGAAGAGGACGCCAAAATCTTATTTAAACGAGACAACATTATTGACCACACATTCTGTTAAGATACTTTGTATCATGTGAATGCTAGAATTAGAATGCCTTGTTCTACTTTTCAAAGAGTGTATCCAAGAAACATTGCTTATATACACCCCTTTCACATGCCTGCTTCTTGTATTTCATTATCGCCGTCATGAACATTTTGGCCTCTTCGTAAAGCATTCTTAGTAGGGATCCCATAATTCCTTTTAGCCAAGTCCTCTTATTCTTGGTGATTTCAACATCTACACCAACACCCCTGCCAGCTCTGAAGTCTCTAGACTTTTTTTTTCCCCCTATGACTTCCTCCTTGGGTCAGCACCAAGAACTATCCAATACTCCAACTCTCTTACACAAAGTTAACTTGATACCTCCGTAAGTGTCCAAGATCAGTTGATTGTAGCTGAAGGAAGTCTGCAATATCAAATCCCATGCACTGCTAATCAATACTGCTCTCCCATAGCTCAGCACACCCCTCAAAACACCGTAATGGTCACAGTGCCAGGAGTGCCCCAGCGCCAAACGAGTAAGCAAACAGTTTAAGAACTATTTGACAAATGATCTGGTACACCAGGTGCCCATGCTGACGACAGACTCAGCGGCTGTGCTTAGTTCAGTGAAACTAACCGATTCTTCATGCAGGAGAATCCAGAAGCAAAGCTGCAGTCACGGGGCATCTAATGGAATCAGGGTAGGTTGTCAATCCATTCTTAAACAGTTTCACTATCTGAGACGCACCATAACCACTATGCACAGCCCTTCTACCAGCCTTTACACTGACTCCCTATATATTCACACATTCAATTCCATTCCCTAGTCCTTACCTATTAGCACTTCCTATCAGTGCCCAACGTACATATCCCTTCCTAGTAAATGTCTCATCCCAACCTCTCTCCATGCACTTAATTTCTTGGGATTTACTTTTCCACTTAGTCTCATACTTTAATAGTTTAAGCCTTAAAAGCCCCCCTTTTGTCAGAAGCATTTGAACTGAACAATTAACGTTTCTCCCCTTTGTCCTCATTCACCCTGATGTAGTCATATGTCTTTTACTGTGATGATACTGTCCACACATATGCAATCCATTCTTATTTTGAACAAATTGCACTTCATGTTTACCTACTGTGAAAATTGATCCCCCGTTTCCATTATATTGTAAACCTGTTTAAACAAAGCCCTCACTACCTCTTTGTTCTGTATATAAAACTTGTGAGTTGAATTAATTTGAGTAACTTGAAAAAACGTGGTGAAACACTGTAGAAAATGTTTTTGTAATATATTTTAATATAATGACAGACAGTAATAGTGGTGAAAAATTGAGTTAACAGGGACATTATGACAGCAGTAAGGTGAAGTAAGGTTTGTTACCAGGCATGTTTTAACCCCTGTATTGCGGTTTATATATGTGATGGATTTAATGTGCTACGTAAATGAGATGACAACCCAATTATTAGTTACACCCCTTTAAATGTTTCTCACCTGCTACTTTCAACTCCTCCAATTCCTTTTTGCGTGACACAGGACAGTAACAGATCCCATAAACCATAGGACCTACAGAGGGAGAGAAAAGAAGG